GAGAAAGAAGGAGAAGAGAGAAGGAAAGAAGAAAGAAAGAGAGAAACAAAAGAGACAAAGAGAGAAGAAGAGAACTAGAAAGAGGAAGAAAGATAAAAAGAAATAAAGAGAGAGAGAGAGAGAGAGAGAGGAAAGAAAAAAGAGAGAGAGAGAGAGAAAGAGAGAGAAAAGGAAAGAGAGAAAAAAGAGAAAGAGGAAAAGAAAGAGGGGAAAAGAAAGTGAGAAGGAGAGAAAAAGAGAAAGAGAGAGAAAAACAGAGAGAAAGGGACAGAAAAAGAGAAAGAGATAAATAGAGAGAGAGAAAAAGAGAGATAGAGAAAGAGAGAAATATATAGAGAGAAAAAGAAAGAGCATGAAATAGAGAGAACAAAGAGAGAGAAAGAAACTTCAAATCCTACTGGGAGAAGAGGAGCCAATGATGAAAATAGCTGCATAATATGTGACAGTGTGTCACAGACTGAAAGGAGCATGAAAAACTGTGGACTTAAAAATCCTTTACATGGAATAAGCCCCACCCCCCTTTATATTGCCCCTTACCCCCCCAAAAGCTACCCGAAAGCTACCTCTTCCCATAAAAACTCAACTGCTTCGGCAATGCTAAAATGTATTTGGTCCTGCCAATAAAGTTTACTTGAATTTGAAAGAGAAAGAGGGAGAAAGAGAGAGAGAGGGGGATAGAGAGAGAGAGAGAGAGAGAGAGAGAGAGAGAGAGAGAGAGAAAAGTGTAGGAGAGAAAGAATAATTACCTAGACTGAATTTATCTCTTGAGAAGAGATGACACCACTGTATTCCTTAACTGAAAGAGACAAAAGTGGTGTCATCTGTCTGGCTGTGTGTGATAGCCCTATGTACTGTATTGAATGGACAGAAATACAAATCTGTTCACCAGAAAATGAATTCCCTTGTATGTTTTTTCATCAGTGTATTGTACTATTAGCAAGGGGTCCACAAAAATCCAAATTAAACCTTCATATCAAATACAAGTTTTCTGGCAACTCATAGAGGAACCTTCTTGCCAGATTACATATATTTTCTGACAGCAGAGACCCAGGAAACCCTGCAGAAAAGGACAGCGGACATATGGTGAGGTGGTCACGCACGGGGGGGGGCGATATCTTCCAGCAGTTGTGGAAGTGTTCGAGCAGCTCCATAGTTGGATGAATTTCTCTCCAACTGAAAGCCAACAGTCAGCTTGATGAATGTACACACACTGTTGGAGATTAACTAAAAGCTGTGGTTGCACAATTCTTCCTAGATTAGAACACAGAACAGTTTCTGCTCCTAATTACAAAAAGGGTGCAAGCCCCTTTGTTAATTAGTAGGGATCCATCTTCTGTTCTTTGGCTGTTACAGGCCCAACACACAGAACAAGAAACAGAAAGCTGGAGCTGCATGCTCCGATCTCACAGCTGTGTTAAATATGTGTAATCTCTGCTTGTGTTGTGTGATCACTACACAGGCAGGGAGAGGGATGTGAACCTCATTTACCAAGCATCAGTACTATCACAAAAATTAGATAAATGCACCACTATACACAGAGGTACCAGGTATTATCTTCACAAAGTACAGGTATGGTTTAAAGGATAATTGCATTTTTAGAAGAGATCCTTCATTTGCCTTTGATTAAACGATGATATAGTGTACATATATTGAAGTACATAGTGTATACACAGGTGTCAGGGGCCTATAGCCTCTTGGTATCTGCTTTAATTTCTTTTTTTTTTTGGTATAAAAAGTCACTTGCAGGAAACAGTACAAAGCACTATTGAGTGACTGAAGGAAATGAATGAATAAATGAGTAGCCCACCTCCCTTTATCAAGAGCACCCTCGTGGTTGACTGAGGAATCCTCATGACCAAAACTCATAATAACTTGTATATTATAATGCATGATTTGGTTTGTAGAGATAGATTGATATTAGACTGATTTGTTTTTTTTTTTTCATTTATAAAATTTTGACAATGACAATGTTATTTAAGAGAAATTTAGTTAAACTTAAATTAGAACACACCCATCGCCTACACCTCACTGTTTCAACGTTTGTTCAATAGGGAGCACCTTGTTGGTCTAAGGCAGAATTATAGTACTGCAAATGCACATTAGTTAACTTTTTATTATGCCATGAATGTGACATTAACCAAACATTTACTGCAGGTGTAGCTTCTTCCCACAGCTGTACAGGGACACATTGGCTTTGCAGCAATGAGTTACTTATATTTAAACTGGGAGTTTTACTCATTTATTTTGGAAAGACACCATCCCCTGAAATTGTTTAGCTTACCAAATTATTTTATTAAAGTGTTACTAAACCCAGGACCCTGCATTCACTATATCTGGTCTCTCACAGTACACAGAACATGGAAATACAATTATTTTAGTAAATATAAACTGCTAAATACCTTTTCTTATCAGCAGTTAGAGCAGTCTTGTGACTTCTATCAGTGTCCAGCTGAGCACTGGTTAAAGCTTTTAGGAGAAGTTTTCATTCTGCTCTAGGAGGATGCAGGACCCCTGATCTCTGTCTGAACAGTGCTGATTGGCCCTGTGTTGATCACATGCACTCTCCCAAGAAAAAAAAAACTCTAGAATTACACACTAAACTGAGCATGCGCAGAGTGACTCTAAACCTCTGTTCTATCAGAAAATATTAAGGGGGCAATGAAAGAAGGGGGGATCACAGAAGGGAGGATCAAACATCCTTTTTACACAGTGTGGAGAATTAACCCCTTATGTTCCACAGTGAGTTTAGCAAACATGCTTTACTGCATATACAGACTGATTTTACTGTTGTAGGTTTAGTAACACTTTAAGTTAGCATTGGCAAAGTGTAAGTGCATATAGTTTTGGGCAACTATATTTCACAGTAGTGGAAGTAGGGGGATAAATATCTGTTGTCATCAAAGACAACTAAATTAATTAATTTAATGTCAAGACATTGTTTTTCAGTTTAATTTCAAAGATTCTTCTAAATTAATGAATTTATTAACTATGATAGTGTGAGAAATAGATTGTTGCAACTACTACTACCAAAAATATTTTCAAAAAAGTGTTACCAAACTGTAAGCTCCATGGTACAATGGTTAAAGTGATACTATAAGTAAACATTTTCTTTAACCACTTCATGACTGCCCCAAAGCAGATGTACTGCTACAGGACGGCTGTGTTGTGCAAAATCACATAAAATTTATGTGATTTTTCATTTCCGGGTAGGGGGTACGTGCATGCCACCCTACCCGCGCTACCATTAGCTCCTGAGGATGTCAGTCACTCGGTGATCATCGGAGAAGCTGAGAGGGGAGAGATCTGTGTGTACAGAACTCTCTCCTGTCAGCATGGGTGTGCTGCTTTCTATCTCCCATCTGAAAGGGGCCATAAGTCGCTGATCGCCGCCATTATTAGTATATAAAAAAAAGGTATAAATTCCAGTATGTATACATCCATTTGCAGATCCTATAAACTTCATGTAAACCAATTAATAATACAGTATTTTCTGGCGTATAAGACTACTTTTTAGACTTAAAAATATACCCCAAAAATTGTGGGTCGTCTTATACGCGGGGTATAAAAATGTGAACCTTGAGTTTGTTTGGGTCAAGCTGGCTGGATGTGTGGTAATACAGTACATACAGTGTACCTTGCTGAGACAAGCTGGCTCAAAACAAATGTTCCTATGACAGATTAATCTGTCAGCCCGCTGGATGTGCGGTATATACAGTATACTGCGCTGAGCCAAGCGGTTTCAAAACGTACCGGTACGTCCCTACTGTAATCAGCCCGCTGGATGCGTGTATGTACGGTGGCTGTGGCTACATACAGTATACACTGGGCCAATCACGGTGAATGATGTATTCTACTAATGAATACAAAGCCTGCTCGGATTGGCTGAGTCAGAGAGGTGAGCTGATGATGTCACAACCTCAGCCAATCCGAGCAGGCTTTGTATTCATTAGTAGAATACATCACTCACCGTGATTGGCCCAGTGTATACTGTATGTAGCCACAGCCACCGTACATACACGCATCCAGCGGGCTGATTACAGTAGGGATGTACCGGTACGTTTTGAAACAGCTTGGCTCAGTATACTGTATATACCGCACATCCAGCGGGCTGACAGATTAATCTGTCATAGGAACATTTGTTTTGAGCCAGCTTGGCTCAGCGCGGTATACTGTATGTTTTTAAATGGTGTTGCCTCGGAAGGGGGGTAGTCTTATACAGTGAGTATAGCACAAAACCTATGCTTTAACTGGAAAATTAGGGGGTCGTCTTATACACCCAGTCGCCTTATACGCCGGAAAATACGGTACACTTATAAGGGTTTTTTTTTTTAGCAAAGACATATAGCAGAATAGATTTTGGCCTAAATTTATGAAGACATTTTTTTTTTTACATTTTTTTTTATTGGATGTTTTATAGCAAAAAAGGCAAAAATATTGGGGGGGGGGTTTTTCAAAATTGGCAGTCTTTTTTTGTTTAGAGTGTAAAAAATAAAAAATACAGAGGTGATAAAATAGCACCAAAAGAAAGCTATGTTTGTGGGGAAAAACTGACACAAATTTAATTTATGTACAGCGTTGTATGACTGCGCAGTTGTCAGTTAAAGTAACACAGCACGGTATCAAAAAAAATGGCCTGGTCATGAAGGGAAGTAAATATTCTGTAGCTGAAGTAGATAAATAACAAACATATTATACTTACCTGCTCTGTGCAATGGTTTTTAAGAAGCTTCGATCCTCCTTTCCTTGGGTCCTGACTGAGTACCCCCATAGCAATCATCTTGCTATGGGGGGCACTCATGCATGCTCAATTTCAAACTCCACTCTGTGTGTCCATAGACACACAGTGCATAGGTCAGCCCCACCCCCCCGCTCCATTCTCACTTTCTGTGACTGACAGCATTGAGAGCTAATTGCTCCCACTGCTGTCTCTGAGCCAATGAGGAGGGAGAGAGTCAAGAGAGCAGTTGCTCTTGTGTACATCGCTGGATCGAGATCGAGGCTCATGTAAGTATAAGAGGGGCTGGAGGGGGAGCTGCACACAGAAAGTTTTTTTACTTTCATGCATAGAAAACATGATGGTAAAAAACCTTCAGCCTTTAGAACCACTTTAACCCCCCCCTGGCGGTATTCTCGAGTGTAGCTCGGGGTAAAGTTTCAGCACCACAAGCGGTAACCCTGAGCTACACTCAGGAATACTATGCAGCGTTGTTCCGGGATCCCTCGATCACTTACCTTGTCCCGCGCTCCTGCGATGTCCCTCCTGCAGTGTCTCCGGCAATGTGCTCCGGCGGAAGCCGGCATCTGTCATCTGGGTTCCGTCCCCTGCGAGCGTCGGGACGCAATGGCGGGAAATTTTAAAAAAAGTGACATTCACTAAATACACTAAAATAACATAGTAAAACATTACTGTATCAAAGCATTTCACATACATTTTGTCCCTAGTGCTTTGTCCTGTGCCCTGCCTGCATTTTTACTGTTCTTTCTGCCTGGAAACTGAGAAACGTCCATGGCATCCAAAAAGCGTCCCTTTAGGTTAAAAGCGTTTTAGACCAGCTATAGGACAGCGATAGTAAATTAGAACAACTTGCAGAATTGAGTGATGATTTGTGGGGAAATTCATCATCAGACACTGAAAACGATTTTGCGACTAAGCTCAGTGATGTGCGAACTTGGCGCTCAATTTCAAATTTCAGCGTTTTTGGTTTGATTATATTATTGAATTAAATTTATTATTATTATTATAATTTTTTATGATTATTTATTAAATTATAATTTATGATTTTGTTTTTCAAATTGTAACATACCCAGGATGTTTACTAGACTCTTGTTCGGACAGATTTCAGTGAGTTATTCTTAAAAATGACAGGCCTACAATAAAAAAAATACATAAATCCGATTTCCGTGCAAAAAAAGTACCGCTTTGAGCACAGAAATATGGACATAATCAGACCGCTAGGGAGGTTAATGAGCCTTTCACAGACTTTTTGAACAAAGATAACTAAGTGGAATTTAGTGAAACTTAGTGAAGTTAAACATTTTTCAATATTAAGCAGATATGGGGGCCAAAACTCTACAACTTCACCAAGGAAGGTTTTTTTTCATTTTTCTTAGAGCATTAAATCTGTAGACATTCCTACATTACCTTTTCCAGGGGCATTGGTGGCGCTAAAAAAGTCAAATTTCCATCAGCAGTAAAATCGTGCTTTGAAGGGCATATGCCTCCTATTTGGTATGTGATTAAGCTTGGACACGTCTTTAAGTTGGGATAACAGCAATCCTGTCCTATATTCTACACTCATAACTTTGTCATAGACCACAGACATAATATGACCTGTCAAAACACCAAAAATAAAAAAGGAGAAAGAAGCAGATCAGTATATTAGAACCTGACACATTGAAATACAAGGGCAGATCAGCTGAGTTAGCCACCTTTTTTTTGTCATTTTCTCATGCTTAATGCCAACAGACAAACAACAGTTTATATCTTCTCTCATCCAATGTCAATGGATCCCTTTAAATGTTGTCATATTTTTATTAGTTCTAGCAAGAACCATATAGAGGAAAGATTAAATTAAAATTTGATTGACAAGCACCTCGAGAATTTGTAGAAACAATTTAAGGAAAATCATCTTTACTTCAAGACAAAAAAAACAAAACAGACAGATTGCTTAAAAGACTAAGCAAATGAATTTAAGAACAATAATTGCTCTGTAAAGCTGTTCTTAAACATATTTCCTTCTATTACTGTTGACTAAATTAAAATGAAAGTACTCCAGTAAACATTTTTAAAATAACATTTAGTTTGTTGAGTGGTTTGGGCTACTGTTTTTGGATTAGACAAAATAATTTTGTGACTTTTAGCTCTCAAATTGGAACGGTTACCAACATTTCTCCAGGAAATGTAAATAAATTTTCTCTAATGGTGGCCATATACGAGGTCTGTCTGTAAAAAGTCCAGCCATTGTTACTATAACGAGAATGACGATTTATCAATGTATGGTGGCATATGTTTATTGGCATGATTGATTTGATGTGTTATGCGCTATTGCATTGTATTTGGCAACACATATGAGAGTGTTGGTGGCTGGGAGCAGCTCTAAGTATTTTTTGGTTTCATTTTTTTTAACAATTGGTTATAACTGCTCGCAGGTTTTATATACACACAGAAATAATCAATTCCCTGAGGTTTTAAAAAAAACCTACAGAGCATAAATATGTAAAGAAAGCTCGAGCTGACTACAAGTTATCTGCAAAATAACATATCATTTACTAGGAATACTATACCTTAAAGCAAGATCCCTGCATCAGGTACAGCTTGCAGGTGAGCAGCACAGTGGTGTCATTTAGTAATGAGCTGTACATAACTTCTTTCCGACTGAGGCATGTTTGCAGAACTTTACAGAAGTTCTTGTACTAAATCTGAATCCCATTAACGTCAGTAAGTTCAACTTTTACAAATCAGTAAAGGCCAAGCTAAGCTAATAGGCAGATAATTGTCAAACAAATGGCATTGGTGGCTGGGCAGTGTGCATGGAACATGGACCAAAGAAGAAAACAATTTAAAAAGATTCTGTTTGGCAGAGAACAATAATTTAAAAATTCTGGGTCTCGGAAGGTGATTTTTCGGTGGCACCCGGTGGTCTCCAAGTATCTCTGACGGGGGAGAGACCTGTGTATAAACAACCCAGATCTCTCCCCTGTCAGCTCCTGCACACTGCTTTGTATGGCTCTGCATAGCAAAGCCCTAAAAAGCAGTGTGCTTACAGTACACAGTTAACCCTTTGATCGCCCCACATGTTAACTCCTTCCTGCCCAGTGCTTTGTCAGTGCTTTTTATTAGCACTGATCACTGTATTGGTGTCACGGGGGATGTCAGTGACAGCAAGTCAGTTCCCCCCAGTGTCAATGCCCGCCACAGTCCCTCAATAAGTTGCTGATTGCCACTAGTAGAAAAAAAAAATTCCAGTATCTATACCATCATTTGTAAATGCTATATCTTTCATGTAAATCAATTAATTTACACATATTGGGATTTTTTTTTAGCAAAGACATGTTGCAGAATACATTTTGGCCTAAATTTATGATGAAATTAGATTTATAAAAAATTTTTACTGGACATGTTTAAAAAAATATTTTTTTTTTTCCTCAAAATTGTCGGTCTTTTTTGTTTATAGCAAAACAAAATAAAAACTGCAGAGGTGATCAGATACCGCCAAAGGAAAGCTCTATTTGTGGGGGAAAAAGGATGTAAATTTCATTTGGGTGCAGCAAAATTGACCGCACAATTGTCAGTTAAATTAATGCAGTGCCGCATCGCAAAAAAATGGCCTGGCCAGGAAGGGGGGTAATCCTCTGGACAGCAAGTGGTTAAGAAGCTGCCCCTTTGTTTGCATTAATCTGTCAGCCAGGTATCCCCAGATGACAGCTGAATGGGTCAGGCAGGGATGACTCACTGCTTGTTAAGACGTTGGCAGTTGCTGAGTCCTTAAAATACAGACACTTACCTGTCCCTTGGTCCAGCGGTGTCCTCACCACGGCTGGTTTCACCGGCCAGCTTCTCTCCCTGGCACCGGCATCTTCAGTGTGGGCACCTGGCTGTGACAGCTTGCAGCTTCACAGCCTGGTGCCCACTGCACATGTGCGAGAAGCACTGAGCTTTTTGAATGGCCCCATAGTCTTCTGGGACCTGTCACATATCCCAGAAGACTATGGGGAGGGAGGGTGAAGGACAACTTCTGCTTCCGATTGCCTAGGTGATCGCAGCGGAAGTGGGAGCGGGTACCTGTCAAATTCGGGTACCTGCTCCCCCCCCGCACCCCAAAGGTGCCAATCCTTAATGAGGAGCAGGGGACAAAGGCTTAAAGCGGAACTTCCCCTTTTGGGTGGAACTCCGCTTTAAACAACCTGCCTGAAGGAAGGTGTCACATTTAGCAGTGGTAGTACTATCACTGTTATATGTTTCTCTTGCTGGTGCAGGCAGCAGGTAAGCTTGGCAGAACATTAATTTTATTCAGCCATTCGCCAGACCTCTGAACAAGCAAAATTCAGTCTGAACAAAGTTTCAAAATGAACCAGGATCCCTAGTGGCATCACTAAATCTTACTCTAGATCTTGTGAAACTGGCAACCAGAGGCTGGACACCTTAGATGGTCTCACACTGCAGATACACAGTTTAGAGGCTCACGGCACAGAACAGTATAGGCACAGGATGTGCCCTTTTTTTTTTTAGGAAGAATTCAAAATAAATGGTAAAATTTTTTTTTCAAGGTACTGTTTAGGCGTAATTAACATTTCTAGGTGTTCCCTGTAAGATATATTAGCAGATCTTCACTTTTTACATTTTGGTAAATTTTAACAGTCTAATAGCTTTTGTTTTAATCAATATTACAGGTGACAGGTGAAACCTAATGTGTTATGCTTTTGTACCATACATAAATACAGACTTTAAATCTAATTTGAATTAGTAGTGTACTGCAGTGTCATGTTGATCAAGTAGCACATGGCAACATACATATTTGTGAAGGTTTTGATTTATTCAGTGAGGTGATGGTTTAGCTAGCAGGACTTAGTACCATTCAGCTGGACAAGTCCTCATCCTTGTCCCAATCAATGTTTTTCCATTGAAAAAAAATTTAAGAAAATGCACCCTATCATTGCTTATAGCACTAAGCATCTTTTGACCCATTATTGGCCCATGTATACCAAATAAATTTGTATCATCATTCTCTGCACAACTGACATCTTGTGCCACTACATAACATGAGAGAGGTTTTTGATAAGATTGTTTACTTTATTCAAACTTCAATCACATTTCAATAGAATAAAAGTACATACCGGTATATTCATTGAATATAAAGTTGTGTTTATGATAATTTTCTTGGGGAGGGGTCCATGACTCACTGGACTAGTGGCATCCAGTAAAATGTGACTAAATACTACAAACTTTACCAAATGAAAACAAATTATAATATCCACTATAATATATGTGTTTTAGCTAAGGCACATAAACATAATTTAAAAAGCATATAATATAGTTTCATTCTTTTATGGAAGTGCTGAGGAACTGGGTGAACAAGGCCATTCTTGCTGAGTCTATATTATTGTACCTTGTGTATGCAAAATTTTCACTTTTTAAGAAAAAGTACTCACCCCTTACAAAAGGGGTAAAGGACACTAATTTTCCAGGGGTGCTGTCATCCCAAGTTTAAGTAGCAAAAACAGTATATACTGTTTTTGCTACTTAAAGGAAGTATATATATATATATATATATATATATATATATATATATATACTGTTTTTTTTTAGTAAGCTTTATTTTTAGGTTTTTTTTAGATTTTTAGGCACCATAATTTTTCGCCGTTCCACAGGTGGACACAATTTTAAAGCATGACATGTCTGGTATCTATTTACTCAGCGTAACATCATTATATTTTACTAATTGGGTATTATATTGTGTTTTTGTGCATTAAAATTCATTTAGATGTATTTTTTCCCAAAAATATGCATTTGAAACACTGCTTTACAAATATGTGACATAAAAAAACATATGTAATATTGGGGGTTCTAAGTCATTTTCTAGCAAAAAAATATGTTTTTTACACATAGGAGAGGAATGCCTCAATTGACCTGGACTGGAAGGGAACAAGCTGACAGTAGGGTTTACCTGACTAGGCTGTTGTTGGTCTTTCATTTGCCAGTCATAAGTGACTGAAGCAAACTAAATATATCTAAAAGAGACCGAGAAACCAGTAGTTGTCATTACTTCCAGGCCTGTTTAAAATTATTGCATAATAAGACGCACATACAAAAATGTAATAATTTATGAAAGCAAAAAAACTTTTAACACCCAACAAAAACTCCCAGAATCCAAAAACATTTAATACTGGCATTTGCTCAAATACAAAACAGCCAATGCATTTTGAGGGGTCAAGGATCTTCCCCTTCTTCAAGACTTGAGTGTGATGAGCAGATTTCGAGAACTCTAAAGTGGCAAAATCACCAGGGTTTAATTGTTTTCAAAATCAGATGACAAATGACAAAGATCAGTGGATCGACAGATCAGCATGGATCACCATTTATCTATGGTGGGGGAATGACAGTGATGATTACACACTCTTGGTATAGTAGCAGAAGGGAGTCATTTTTCTTATAGTGAATTCTGAAGATAAAACTATTCTTAGGTAAGATAGCTACTGTATTGTAGTGGCTGCCTTGCCTTCTGCCCTTTTTTTAACACCATTTCCTTTTCTATATGATTTCTACTGGCCCTATCTGTTATACAGTATTTTCAGAAATCTGGAGCATATTCTGTGTTTAATTGGTCTAGAGCAGGGGTCTCCAAACTATGGCCCTCCAGCTGTTTAAGTACTACAAGTCCCATCATGCATCTGCCTCTGGGAGTCTTAACTGTGGCTGTCAGAGTCTTGCAAGGCCTCATGGGACTTGCAGTTCCTGAACACCTGGAGGGCCATAGTTTGGAGACCCCTGGTCTAGAGGTCTATGTTTTCTTCTGCATATCGGACGTTTTTGTCAGTATACATTATACTGGGTATTGTATGATGCACAAAATGTCTATGGGGACTACTGTCTGATATCGTTTCTGTTCCGTGTGGAATCGTTATCATTGTTTTGTATTTGACTATGTGTGTCACCATTACAGACTAAAGCAGGCCACAGATGAGTCCAAAACCAAATGAAAATTCACGTTTATTCGTTTTTCACATCATTAGTTCATTTTTCACATTATCCAACATGCTGGATTTTGTTCTGAAAAATGAAACAAATGGTGGCATTTTTGATCAACAGAAGCTTCGGGTTTTGACTCATCTATGGTCTGCCTTCGTCTCAGACCCCTTCAATGCCCTTGACAATCTCTACTGTATGTCTCACAACCCATTTTGCTGTCGGTCCTGGCTAAGTAAATCCTTTAAATCCTAAGACTGGCTGACAGAATTAAAAACTTTTTGGTAAATAAAGCTGTAAACATATAGGTATTTCTGTTGTATTTAGTTGTTGTTCTGAAATTTCGCTTTTACAAATATAGCATTGAGAATGGATATTTTATTTTTAATTGATGAAATTCATTCCAACCATCATAATAGAACTGGTAAAACTCTCAGACATTATACCCAGAGATGTCTGAACACTTTAACATTTACCATTTTCAGCATTAGTGTATGAAATTGTTCCATCCACCACAGAGATAGATGTTCTCTATGGTTAGTTCAGGTGTCAGTATTCATTGACATTTCATTCTGTGCCGGACAAATCCTGGACACTGCATGCTGTATTTTTGGCTGAGTGCTGAGCAAATATTCAGTGAGAATTCACATCAGTCACCGTACTAAAACCTTGTCTCTGATAGACTCACAGACAGAAAAAGCCAGATGGTCCATATACATAGTCAGAGGAGCTTGCAAATGAAAGCACAAACTCAAAATAACGCAGTAGTAAAGTAAACCCAAGCAATAGCAGTTTTGGATGTAGGTAAAATACAGATATACAAAATGACGAATGATCCTGAACTGGTAACAGATTTTATTTTAATAACAATCTGTTTTTAATAAAGGATGAGCAGAGTGATCCGGTAAATTAATTTTACTGCAAAATTACCAGTTTCAGTCAAAGAGCTGCTTAGATGAAATTTGCTTAAAAAAACTATTTTTTTTTCTATGTTAAGAGAGTGTAGGGGTTAGTTTTGGTATATTTAGGGTAATTTAATGTATTAATATTATTTATTTTATTTTAGGATTTCTTTCTTTTTGTGTTTTTTTCTTTTTAGATGTGTTTTATATTTTGTTTGATTTGATCACTGTGTACTGTTACTTTGAAAAAGTGTGAAGGTCCCACTTGAAAAAGTGAAGGTCCCATTTTATGGCACAAGAACAACTTCAGGACAGCTACAGGGAGCATCTGGAACTTTAAGGAGAAATCTAAATCCCATTGCAACCTGAAAAAACCACCAAAACATCCTTCATTTTTCCTTTTCCATTAACTCTAATACTATTTGCCAAAAATTGTAAAATTTAACCAAAATCTCTTAATTTTGGCAACATTTAGAGGAAATGAAAAATTTGCACTTTTTACTTCTTTCTATTTCCAATGTTTCCAAGATAACAAAAACAAGCATTAAGCATACACTGGAATATTTCTGAAAGTAAGAGTTTATTATTGGTTTTGATACTTTTAAGAGGCCTTGCCTTATGCATTTTCCTTCCATGTATTCTGCAATTTGTTTTTAAAAAGACCTCTAGTGCATTTTTCCTTGAGTTTTCAAGTTAAGTGCAACAAAGTAGCTCATCGTTCTACGATGGAATACCAATATCTTTCAGTCTGCCCAATTACCAAAGGCAGTAACTCTGCCAGCCATTAATGTCTGCTTCTCTGCTGATTAATTATTGGAGGTGCACACAGCTACTTGCTGAGCCTTACAGTATTACACTAATTATAAATTAATATATTGGCCATTACATGCTAAGGAAATGTAGACAGCTAATGCATTCAAGCAAGACGTCTGTTTTTAGAACAGCTGTACCTTATTTTTATCCCATTTGTTTTAATTTCTTGCTTAGCTGTCCCTCTGCCAGAATTGTGCTCAGCAAGTATGTCGAAGCATACAGGATTTGAAGCCGGCAGCCTTGGTTTGCTTATCTTGTTTACAAATTAATCTGAGCCAGGTGTCCCAAGTAAATGTAATCAATGAGTCTGTGTCTCGATCACCTTTTGCTGGAATGTCTGTAGAATTCCTGCACTCTACACCATATTAAAATCTGCAATTATTATATAAAGTATATCACATTGATCTTCTTCTGCATTTTAAAACTTTCTAAGTGATTGTAAGGTTACTGTGGACTACTGGTGTGTATGCACGATTTTTTCCTCCTACCTGGTTCTTTCTCAAAGTGTAAATCTAGTCTAATGATAATCCCATAACCATTAGATAAGTATCGTCCAACTTCTTGGACTTTCTATAATAAAGGTTTTCAGGAAACACTAGCTGTCATTCACATTGACCAAGATGGAATATTTTGTCAGTTATTCTCCTAGAAGATCCAAGCCAGGTCATGAATCTCTCTACATATCAAAATATCAGTTACAGGCATGATATATTAAAGTGGACCTTCTTTCTGTCTCTCAGGTGGCTCTAGCGCTGCCATATTGGTGCCTGGGCAGATGTGCCAAAAGGCCCTGCCCCGCTTTTAGGTCCTGGTAGAGCCCTTCAGCATACACAGGGGATTTCTCGCACATGTGTAAAGGCAGCAAGGACATGGGACTTCCCTAATATCTATATTTTGCTCAGGGCCAAAAGCCCTGTAGCACATCTGCACACACGCGGGGGGCAAAAGAAAGTAATTCTTGCCTAGGCGAGAAATGTGGAAGTTCTGCTTAGCAGCACACATATAAGACATTAGTTTAAAAAAATATACATACTGTATGTCCAATTGTAAGGGAGAAAGGGGGAGAAGGCAGAGCAACATGACATGACCTTTAGGGTGAAGGTCTACTTTAAAGTCAAACTTTCAGTGATGTCACAAGTCTGCATGAATACATTCATGATATGTCACAATATACAGAAAGACTTTGTTTATATAGGCAGTTGGGGGGGGGGGGCTGGGGGCAGTAAGAAAATTGCTGGTTGAACCATGGTTTTGTTGTCCAAACCTCCAAACCACTGGACATGTTGGTACACACTGTTTGTGGTTGCAGCCATTGTGTGTAAAAACTATAGAACAGCTTGCTGTCACAAGTTAGCCTGCAGCCTCTTGTTTGTTTTGTCTTACCTCCTTGCTGTTCTTTCACATGTGTGTTTCTCTGTGCTCACCTGTGGGTGTCGTCTGCTGTCCTCTGGGTTTTATGTCCTTCTCTTTCATCACTTCCTGGCCCACCTCCTAGCTGGCTTGTCTATTTAAGACATGCTCAGTCTGTCTCACTTTGCCTGAGCAATGTTTGTGTCTGAGCTCCCCTGTGTTCCTCTGAGAATCCGTTCAAGTATATCTGTGTACTGACTCCGGCATGTCCCTGGCATTACTTCTATATTGTCTATCCATGTACCGACTCCGGCTTCGTTCCTGACATCGCTTGTCTTCCACCTGTCCTGACTTCGGTTTGCCTACTGGATCTCCTGAGTCTACTCCCATTGTACCCTACTCCCGCTAGCAGTATCTTCTACCTCAGCTGGGTGTACCTGGGGGCCGCGACCTGGTTCCAGCCTGCTCCAAGTCCATCCCCACCATCAGGGGCTCTGGTGAACAAGCAGGCTGGGGCTTAGACTCCGTGCCCTGGGGAACCCCAAGCTGTGGATTAAGAGCTCACTACCACAGGTGCTAACACTTGCATTTGGCAAGCAGTACTGCTTCCAAATGTGAACTATTCATGTGGTATTTCAGTAGAAAATTACCAATCAACTACAAAGAATGAGTATTCAGGAATCAGCAATATCACCTCCTGAATGCCTGGGAGCCACTGCTCTACTGGTAGAGAGTGCTGCTCATGTAAGTGAGTCCTAATAGTATAATTCCCCCCACCAGATAATGTCTGAACAAATATTTTACTGTCCTACTGGAGAGAAAAGCAGTTGAATGCAGTATTTATTAGGAATACTGCGATCTCTCTGAAAGGTAATACATGTTTGTTAGTATTACACTAACTGTATATAATACTTAACATGCAAGCACTTTATCATGTACCTGGTGCTGGAGACCAATGGTGAGAGGGCTTCCATTGCGACTAAGTTCCAGACCCCCCTGATGGTGGAACGGGAGGAGTCAGGCTCAAAGAAGCATGGGTCTCCTGCTGGATATACTTGCAGTGATGTTCTGACTGAAATGTTGTCAGAGGAGACATCCAGGTATATAGCTGAGGCATTGGGATGGTGTCTGCAGACAATTGGCACCTGTGGGAAGTAGCAGGTCTCAAGCAGAGAAGATCAGGAAAGGAGTCCATTCAAAGCCAAGATACCTGGTGTGGACGAGAGCAAGAGTAGTCAGAGGATAGTCAGGGTTAAACAAGCTGAGGTCAGATAAGAAGACAGGTAGAAGATAGATCCAGAGGCAAGCCAAATCAGTAACAGCTATCCAAAGATCAACCAGCATTCACAGAATGTGGCTGGCTTTCTTTTGACACCAATCTGAGCTGTGAGTGTGCTTGGCTGTGCACATGCATATTCCGGCACGCAATGCCAGGTCTTCGAGTGCTTCTGCTGCAGACAGTAGCCTAACACACTTAAGCACTTTGACTTCGAAATTGAACTGAGTGAGCTATTAATGCATTTCATAAAACTGTAGCTGTGCTAAAATTAGAAATTTCACTAATTTTATCAAATGTTAATTTGACCCGCTGCAGTCACAGCGCATACAGTCCTCCTCCCCAGTTTAAGATCAATAAGGGTGCACTTTCTGAAGATCTAAGGATACAATGATGATATGGGGATCAGTAGGAGAAACCAATGAGAGCTGTGAGGAAACCAGGAGGTTCTGCTGGCTAAATGAAAACCAAACTAACC